TATATATATATATATATATATATATATATATATATGCCTTAAAACACACACATTTATATTTTTCATATGTATATAAGTTAATTTTAATTTGATATAAACCATTGATAGTCGATATAGGTAAATGTTTACCATGATATTTATTTTAAGTAATAATTTAATTTAAGAAACAACTTAATTGTTTTATCATATTTTATAAAAAAATAATTATTTGAAAAAATTATGACATTCATACTTTACAGATATATCTGTTGGATACATTATTTTACACGATATATTGATCAAATATATCACATCATATGATAAATCGATCAGATACATCATTTTACGTGATGTATAAGCATAACTTTACGCGATGTATCGATTAAATACATTATTTTTACACGATGTATGAGTTAAAGACATAACTTTACGCTGTTAAAACATTGAATGATGTATATCAAATCGAAATACGATATGTCATGATATTGACTGATATATTCGAAATCAAAATAACCCTTTGAAATACATTATGAATCCACCAATTTTCAGGTATTTTTGTAATTTTAAAAAATTAAATTTTATAATTAATTTTTAACACTATAAAATGTGCATTAAAATCTTATACATATTTTAATTGAAAAGGCAAGAGTATGGTTTGATTTGTCTATATATACATTCCTTTTAGCTTAGAGGCAACATCACGTTAGCTGTCACCTGAGGACATCTCCTTATCAACATTTTTGTTGTAATAATAGAGAGAGAGGGAGAGAAAAAAATGGAGCTCACTCAAGAAGATTTTTTAGAAGAAATAGTTTCTCCAAGGATAGAAAATTGGAACAACACTTTTGCAAATGCATGGAACATTGAATCACCAACTTTTTATCAACAAAATCCTGAATTTATACCTTCAAATTCTTCCCTTTTAGACCTCATAATGTCTCCTTCACAATCCAATTATTTTCCATGTCCTGATTTTCAAGAATCATCATACCCTTTTCTTCATTCTTTCACTACTACTACCCCACCTCAACTAGTTATTGATTCTACCACTTATAATAATAATAATATTCAAGAAAGAGCCATTATAGAGGAAGGGCAAATTGGTCATTTTTCTACTGATTTTCATGGGCATTATGAAGACTCATTTAGTTGTTACAATATTAACAAAGTGGTCAAAATGGAAGAAGCAACTTCAAGAATTGTGGGAGAAAAAAAGAGTAAAAATTATAAAGTGAAGAAAGTAGAAGGACAGCCTTCTAAGAATCTTATGGCAGAAAGGAGAAGAAGGAAAAGACTTAATGACAGACTCTCTATGCTTAGATCTATTGTACCCAAAATAAGCAAGGTGATTTAATTAATTAATTTTCTCTTTATTACAATTATTATTAATTATTTGATTTAACAGATGGATAGAACATCTATACTTGGAGATACAATTGATTATGTGAAGGAGCTATTAGATAAAATCAACAGGTTGCATGAAGAAAACGAAATCAAGGACATTAAATTTCTGGGTAATTTCAAGGGGTTAAAGACTAATGAAGCACTTGTAAGAAATCCTCCAAAGGTACAATCTTTCTTCTATTAAATTATTATCTACGTCAAAATTCAAATAATATAATGCTTTTTTGTTTTCTTTCGGAAAATAATTTGTACATTAGAATAAGTAAATGTGAATTAAGACTGTTTGTAATGAGCTTTGTCGTCGTATATATTTGTCCATTTGTGGTGGTGGTGGTGGTGGGGGGTAATACCACCTAACTAATATAATTAAAAATATATGATAATGAGTGTATAGTTATTTATGTATGTATATCGATTAGAAAAAAGTAAACAGTAAGATATCGTTTTTATAGTTTGACGTAGAAAGGAGAAATGAGGATGAAACGAGCATAGAGATATGTTGTGGAACGAAGCCAGGTTTACTGTTATCAACAGTACACACAATGGAAGCATTAGGGCTTGAGGTTCAACAATGTGTTGTCAGCTGTTTCAGTGACTTCTCAATGAGAGCTTCTTGCTCTGAGGTAATCTACAATTAATTATTTTTTTTTGCTAGAGTTTAATATATATAAATATATCCGAATACAAATTAAATGACCGATTTATTTAATTATTTTTTATGATAGTCAGTGGATCATCGAACAATTTTAAGTTCTGAAGACGTGAAGCAAGCTCTGTTCAAAACTGCAGGTTATGGAGGAAGATGTGTATGATTGTTGAGAATGATACATTTTGGTCTCAAAGAATGTGTTTGAGAGTTTGTTTCTCTTGTTCCATGAGTATAGCAATTAAATTAATGTTAATGATCTTTCTCAAATTGAGTTAATTCCCTTTATTGTTTAATTTCGTCTACTTTATTATATCCTCTGGAAAAAAAATAAAATAGGTCACGATAATACATATGACAAGTCATATATCATCAATTGCAGAATCATAGAAGATATGGACAACCCACCCCATAGATTAATAGTACTGTGTTTAATTTGATTCTAATACTTAATTACTTATCTTTGAGATTTTTTCTTTTTACTACTATTATTATATGACATAAAGAGGAGATTTCGCATATGGTCACTGAAAAAATAGCTTAAGTTATGTTTTATAAATATAGTTTGGTAATTATGATTTATAGATGGATGTTATAGGGAGAGGAGAGACGAGCGAGAAAGGGCAGAGAGTAGAAGAAAGGCGAATCGTATATGTGTATCCGTCAAAATAATTATATATATCTAACTGGTACGCATATGTATTTGTATATCTGGCGAGCCAAATTGGGAGTGGAAGAAGAGAAGTGAGAGGGGGCAATAATTTTTATAATTCACGGTTACGTTTATATATTTATGCGTTTTTGTATAATTGAGTAATACAAAAGACTGAAATTATATAGATACGATAAAACTCGAAAGAACAAAGTGATACAAACATAAATGAACTTTAAACAATTATACAAATTATATTTATACAAATTACACTATGTAAATTATATTATACAAATTTAGAAAACTACACGTACATACAAACTTTATAAAAGTTTTACAAAAAGAGAAAAAAAATTGCATGTATATGGAAACAAAACTGAATTATCAAAAGAAATCTTCGTTATATACAAATACAAATCATCACATACAAAATACAAATCAAACGAAGAATTGTTAGTTGTGAATTATACAAATGTGACGAATTATATAAATTAAGTAGTATAAGTTTCTTTAATAGTAATTTTCCTGAATTAAATGTGCTAGCCTTTCTTTGGGCCGGTCCAATTGGGTCTTGGGTTCAGTTTACCAACACGGATCCACATATTCTGTTACGCATCGAACTTCAACAGGCCCATTATTTACTTATTAACAGGCTTGGTCTTACTTTATATAGCCCATGGTTCAATTGTAGGCCCAATTAGGAATTGACCGGCCCATTTGACATATCTAGATGGATTAATTACCTGAATATACAACTTAAGTTTACATATTCTTCATATTTCTCTTATATTTTTCAAAAATACTAAAATTCCTATTTTTCTCTAAATCCAATCTGGCGGATTCATTATTAAATTAGAATCCTAACTAATTAAATATAAAGTCTAAATTTACTCTTTATTTTCCCCAAATAAATTAGAATCCTAATCAATTAAGTTTTATCCCTAATTTTACTCTTTATTTTCCCTAAATAACAAACCCATTTACTCCACTCCCAAAATTAAGGCATCACTTTCTCAACCTTTCATCTTCTCAATTTTGAAACTTAAAATTGGTGCTCTCTGTCCGTCATTTTCGTCCAACATTCTTGAAAGGTATTGTGTTCTTCTTCGATTCTGTCTTTTCATTCTTTTATTTTTCTAACAATTCATGGATCATCCGTCATTTAGCATTGGGATTACTCAAATAGTCACTTCAAATTCTAAATAAATCTATATTTCTGAAGATTCAAAATTGATTGAAAACGAGTCTAAGAGCTTGCATAATCTTCTAACAATGGATAAACAAAGTTCGAAGAAAGCATAAAAGAAAGAGGCACATGCAAAGACACCCAAGAAGAGGGTAGAAAGCTTGCAATCGCCATATCCAGACCTCCACTGCCATCGGTACGTATTCACTTTTATTTATTTTTTGTAATTTTTATTATCACGTGCAATGACTTTTCTGTATTATCTATAAAAATATTTTTATATTTTTCAAATTATTCGTTTGATACATAAAATCTTAATTTTTGTACATTTTGTTTATTAAGTATGACTACCTCTTGCTTCTTTATTTCTATAAACACCTTCACACCCATATCATTCCTAATTATCATCGGAGAAGAATTGCCTTCTACAAAGAATTGCCTTCTACAATATATCGGATAATAATATTTTTTTTAATTCGTCAATATTTAATTCAGTAGCAATGGCTGAGATTAGATTCATATATGAAATATTTTTCCCAACCACTATTCCATCACTTTTGTATCGATTGTATGTAACCTCACTCTCCCATATTCCTGAATGCCTTAGCAATATCGTAATATTCATTACGAAAATTTACAAAATTACCTTCAAGGAAATTAAGAATCTCGTTTCTGCAAAAAAAATTGGGACGATCACTGATGAAAAATTATAACTTAATTTAGAGTTTTATATTGGATAAAACTGATGTTTGAAACACATAAGTTAATGCGTTTTTTTATAGGACTAACAACTGTAGCATATTAAAAGTAGGATTTAATTTAAATTTCAGTTTTTAATCCCCCAAATCACACAACAAACAGATAAAATGGCATAATAAAACCGTCTGATACATTATATAGTATGTCATTTTATCGATTTGTTGTGTGATTTGGAGGATTAAAAACTGAAATTTAAATTAAATCCT